TTGGATTAATCATTTATTCTATTTCTTTGGCAGGATGCCGCTAAAACGATAACAGAGGTTTCTACCTCCAAAGAAAAAGTGGGCACTTTTGGCACCATAACATGCACACGTGTTAACGATAGCGACATGAAATGCTTCCTTAGTACGGATCATAAGAGACTTTTTGATCATGTGTTATAGAAAGAAAATGTGGCTAGGGAGGCAAATTATCCTTGGAGATTTTGAAGAGTATGAAATAACTACTCTTATTGGCTGAGCACGATGGGTTAGGGTGATAGAGAACCACATCGGATATATCCCATTTTGGTTCATGAATTCTATACAAACTTAACCATCAGATCGATGACCAGGAAACAGAATATGAGCACTATACATGGGTTAAGGACAAGCGGGTGATGTTTACCCCCGAGGTCATTGATGAGCACTATGGCCTAACTCGAGATAACATCATCCTAGTACCTGGAACAATATATGGTCTTAATGGTTCAAATGCTAACGGGTGACAAGAGGAGGTAGGTGAAGAGTTTGAATATAATAAGTTGCCTCGTTCCTTCCAAATGCTGATGAAATTTATCTGTCACAGTATGGAGCCTACCTTACATATGTCTACTTTCAATTTTGCCAAAGCAAAACTTCTTTTTCACTTAGCATGGGGTTTAAAAATTGATTTGGAAACTTTCATCCACAATCAGATTGTTGAGTTTAGTTCTGCACCACAGTTAAATCAGAATATGATCTTCCCTAGCCTTATCTGTTGCATATGCTTATCAACTAGGGTGTGACTCCTCCCCGTGGAACAGCCGACCCCACCCAATGACGCTGTCAATCGATAGACCTCAGAAGATTCTTGGCAAAATATCCTTACGAGGCGACAATGCCAACAAACAGCAACAAGAGGGCATAAGCCTGCAGCTTCCACAACCAGATGTTATCATCGACATTCTACTCATGCGATAGCTACTAGTCGGGTTGATTGAGACCATCCGAGGCATGTTATGGATAAAGTAGATGCTTGGCTCCTTGGGTTTGAGAATTGGTCACGTGGACACCCGTACCACTGCTACACATGATCAGATGATGTTGCCGTAGGAGGATGTTTCTAGTGTGAGCAGAAGGATCGACATGGTCAATGATCGAATAGATCGATGTGTCAGGTGGATTGATGAGCTTAATATTTAGGTTGATCACTTCTATGACATGATGAGGGACATGTAAGGACAAATTGATCAAAGTTTTGATATGATGAACAACATACATGCCGAGATGGGTCAACAATCCACTCTATTGATAGAGATTCTCGCATGCTTACCTCCATATCCCCATCCATTGCCCTCGGCTCCTACTAGTTCTGGAGATTGCACACCATATCCTCCCCCATCACCATCCGATTGATCAGGGGATTTTTTGATTCCCTTCTTTGCCTTTACTTTTGCATTTCTTTCCCATATTTTGGTACATCGAGGGCATCCTCATTTTTATATAGTTTATTGCTTTCTGCGTGACTGTCGTCTGAATCAAAGAGAAGAAGAAGAAGAAAAAAAAAAGAAAAAAAGAAAGAAAGAAAACAAAATATAATATCCATGTTTATATTTTGTGTGTTTGCGTGGCGATGGTCTTGCTGGCGATAATATGCACTATGGAACTATGTATTAAACTAAGAATCATGAAAAAAAATTACATATTGAGTTGATTGACACTTGTTTGTGTGAAATTTGATCTTTATTGAGCATTATATTCATGTTTTGCATTATGAATTGATGACTTAGCTTATATTAGGAGAAAGTTGAACATAGTTGATGAAAACCTAGAACATCAGAAATTCATATACCCATAAAACTTCCTTTAGGAGAGTTTGGAGATGATTGAACTAGTGTAGGGGAACATTGAGATAAATAAGGACTCTGTGCGTGAAATTGTTGTGCGGATTATCTAGAACCAACAAGATGAAATGAGGCTAGAATCTCAAGTCAGTGGTCAGTTTCGAGAATAGGTGTTTAATAAAGGGCATTACACTAATCTTGGCAATTAAAAAGAATTAAAAAGGGTTAATTATGTAACTTCTCTTCGGAGCCTTTTAGATTCGAGCAATTAAGCCTCCAAGAATCTTTAAAATCTAGTGCCCTATGGTCACCTAATTTGGGAGTCATCAACTGAAAGCTCACTACAGGAATCACTTAGTCACTTAATGCAGAGAAGTCAAAAAAAATAATAAAAATTTAAAAAAAGAGATAAAAAATAAAAAAAATTTACTGGTGAAAAAAAGAAAAAGCAAAATAAGCAGGTGCATAAAATAGAAAACACACCAAGTGTCAAGATTAAGCCTCAAACACTTGTCTTAGAGACTTGTACCTTTGACAAGGAGTTATTAGTTTAATTTAGTCTTGAAGGCCGAAGTGATTAGAAATATAGGAGAATCATTATTCGTTGAAATATTAACCAGTACTAGCTAAGATCTATCTGAACTAGAGAGGGTGAGAATTAGAATCAATTAAAAGTTGACTTCAGTGTATACCTCAAGAAAAGTGAGTGAAACACATAAGTTTAGGGGTGTGTATATTACAAGTGAGAAGAGGAAATAATTGACTATTGTAGGTCGAGAATCAACCCAGTTACGAACTTTATGATGTCTACATGAATATTCACATACACGCGCTTTAAGTTTCGCATTGAATAAGTATAAACCAATTTCAATTCTGTAATTCAGACACTGTTCAAAGTAATGATACAAATATCCAATCCTGAGATTAATGGCATACCATCTAACCAAAGTTAAATTAGGTTAGGCTATAATTTGTTTGAGGGCAAATAAAAGTTCAAGTTTTAAGGTGTTTGATTAGTGTATTTTATACACTTATTTAGCCCGTTAAAATTGATTATTTGTTAACAAATTGAATGAAACATGGCTTAATCCTATGTATACATAATGCTTGTAGGTAACAATCGATGAAAGATGCAGGAGAAAAAAAAATAAAACGAGAAAACGGGCTCAATTACATCAAATACAAAGTTTGGGGACCAAAATGTAATAATTCAAACATGGGAACGAATGCAAAATGAAGATTCGAGGTTGTATTGGATAAAAGAATAAGCAAACGGTGCAAAAGGAAGTGAAGAAGGACGAAGAGAAGACGTTGGAGAAAGTTCAAGGGCCAAGTTCCCAAAATGAGCCAAGGTGCGCGCCCTCGCTTCCAGGTGAGGGGTGCACCTCAAAGACAAAACGGGGTGTCTTAAGGCATCTAGTCACGCGCCTTAGTGTAAAACATGCCTTATTCTATTTTGGTAAGCAGTCTTCTTGACATCATATAAATAAAAGAACACGTCTAGACTTAAAGATTATCAATGTAAGTCGACCTTTTAGAGAAATAGAGAGAATTTACATCGAAGAATGAAGATTCGAGATTGTAAGAACTCAATTGGATAAAAGAATAAGTGAACGGTGCAAAAGGAAGTGAAGAAGGACGAAGTGAAGACGTTGGAGAAAGTTCAAGGGCCAAGTTCCCAAAATGAGCCAAGGCGCGCGCCCTCGCTTCCAGGTGAGGGGTGCACCTCAAAGCCAAAACGGGGTGTCTTAAGGCATCTAGTCACGCGCCTTAGTGTAAAACAGGGAAAATTTTGTATTTCCTTATTCTATTTTGGTAAGCAATCTTCTTGACATCATATAAATAAGAGAACACGTCTAGACTTACGGATTATCAATGTTAGTCGACCTTTTAGAGAAATAGAGAGAATTTACATCGAAAAATGAATAATTCATCGCTTGGATTCAGATTTGAAAGCATTAATTAAAGATTTCTAGATTTTCTTCATAGTCTAATTATTCGGGTGATGACTGTTTTTTGTGTATAATTCTTATATTAATATGCTAGGCTAAAATCCTTTGTATTGGATGGATGACAAAACTTTTTTATTCTTGGTTTTTAATTCAAGAGTTTGTTTTTTATCTTAATTCTTGCGTTATGATTCCATTAATATGCATAATCACATTATTTTAATATTTGTGCATCATTAGAGCAATAAGTTGTTTATTCGTAGTGCTCAAAAACTTGTGGTAGGTTAAACATCGTTTATGGAACATAAGGGTAATAAATATTAGAAATAGTATTTATGGCGTGTGTGATCATGCCGATAGTTCTAAATGTCAATACATGTTTGAAATATGAATTCTAACTTGGAATATGATCGTCTTATGGTAATCATATGTTTATTATATCATGGAAAAGAATAATAAATTAAAGTAGAATTATCGATCGTCACAATTGCATGAATTGAATTAATTATCACTGATTGAGAATTAGAATTAAGAATTAATCAATGAAGTTGAAAATTTAATACGTTCACTCGTACTTGGTTGATAAATCAATTTTTATTAATTTCACAAGTCTTTGTTACAAAATATAGCCCTTGTTTGAGCCCTATTCTTTTGCTAAAAATAAAGTTTTGAATAGTGTATTGATAGGAAATGTGTGGTTGAAAAATAAGGAAAAGTTTTGGATTTGCGTGTAATATTATTTTATAAAAGAATGTGTGGTTGAAATGATGTCAAAATGTTGTTTAAGAATGATTTTTTTTCAAAGAATGGAGATCAAACAAGGGCATAGTTAAATATCCACCAATCGTTTTTCTATTACAATCACAAGTTTAAGTATATCAAATATACTAGAATTGAATCTTATTCACTGTGGGACGATAACTCTTTCATTACGATTATTACTTGTACAACGAACTAGTATGCTTGTGGAATTTTAATGAATATCAACATTCAAGGATGAGGGGAAAAAAAATTTATGACTTGATTTGTCATGAGTCCTATTGAAAGAGAAGGACATCTTTAAAACACTGAACACAAAGATTCTCGAGGGACAAAGGAATAAATAGAGAAACATCTCGATGTAAAAAAAATAAAAAATAATAATATATATATATAAAATAAAATTAGAATGACACAAGAATATTGAATTTCATATTAACTAAAATACATGCAATTAAAGGCACCCAAAAGGTTTAAAATGATTATATATAATTCTTTTTCATATATCTCAATTTTCTATCATTACAATTACAAAAGTTCAAAAACTATTTGATATCATTCCTATCTCTCTCTACCTCCAAACCTCAACTAGATATATTAAGGTCGATTCGAGGTTTCTTGACAGCCATAGACAACGGCACGACACAGTTGCATCGAGGACATAAAGGATTACTCTCCGATATTAGCACATAAAGCAAGCACCTCGGGCAACCACTAGCAAATGATGCCGATGACTTCTCTTTATCAGTCTCGCTATCTTTTGTAGAGGACGTGGAATTTGAATGCGATGATGATGATTTTGACTTTGACATTGACTGTTTCATCAAGGATTCTTTCTCCGCTCTCTCAAGCGCGAACTTCACTTTGTCTAGGGTGCACACGCTTTGATAATTAGATGATTTCACGGAGTTTGAGGATGATAAGACAAGCTTTAAATCTAAATTCGCGTCATCATAAGGGTTCAATGACACTGGAGGAAAATTGAGGTCTTGACGCTTCGAAACATTATCGTTACTCTTAGGATTACTTTTGGAAGTCGAAGAGGACGAGTTTAACGAATTACACCTCTGAAGATACACATTCCCTGACTGTAATAAAAGAATATAGAATCAATTCAAGAAATGTGATTCCTCAAGAAAGTTTCTATTTTTTTTTTAAGAAGATTGAAAATAAAAAATTCGATCGAAAAATGATAATAATAATAATAAAGATTGAACCTTTAGGTCGAGACGTTTTTCCCAGCCAGAGGGTACTTGCAAATCGAGGTCCAACTCTTTAGAGTCAAGAGTAGAACACCCACCAAGAAAATCCCTTGTGATCGGGAACGTTGGTTTCCCGGTTGATGCTGACTCATTTGAGTCTCCACCGTTCATGAGTCTGACCAAAGAACTTACCTCAGTGGCCATCTCAACAAGAAAATCTTTCAACTTTTTTGTAGAAGCCAATTGAAAGAAAAGAAGAAAGTTGAGATTGTATAGAGAGAGAGAGAGAGGATGAATGGAATTGAATTAAAGAAGACGATGATGCAAAATGGAAATTAATATAATTATTTAAGGTCGTTTATAAAGAATTTATTGCTGATTTTGATTCGTTTGGATTTTTTTATTTTTTATTTTCAATAAATAATTTGGAGGGCATTGAATGCAATTTGAACACTAAAGGATAGTTATGAATTAATGCAGGCACAATGCATAGACCTTTTGGGTTCTTAAGCTCATTAATGGTGGTAATGACTGCTTTTAAAACTTTTGAAATTTTTGTATTCTTTCCTTTGTGATTTAATGTTTCATTAATAATCCTTTGTCTTCTATATTAAATGACTGCCGGACTTTAGTTGGAGGCTTTAGGCTCTGTTTGGCCTCTTACAACTCAACAAACTCGTCTAGAATAATTTAATTCTGGATTCTTGACTTTTGTGATTCGTAAGAGATTTTCGCCCACTCGAGTGCCGTGTTAACTTAACTCATTTGAAATTTTTTCTTATTGTTAATGCTAAAAGATAAAATTTCCTGACAAGGTTGCTAGTGTTAAAAACAATATCTTGAAACTCATCTTCTTCATCATAAATGATCCGTTTGCCCCGAAATGACCTGGACCAATAATATAATTTCGGTTACGCTACTCGACGAGGTTGATAGATGTGGAAATTTGAAACTCAATGCTCAAAAGTTCGACGAAACAATTTGATGCTTTCAAACTTCAACTGAGTAATTGGATTTCAATATTGTTGAACATGAAAAAAAATTATTAGGGTACTAGGGTTAAGCTTCTCTTAGGGTCTGTATGACTAGATGATTACGAGTAGAGCTTTTATGAATAAAGTATTTTCAAAAATAGATGAATTAAGATTAGTAGTTGAATTCGTTTCAAAAAATGAATAGTTGAATTGACTTTTTCGATTGTTTATTAAACTTGCGAGTTAAATTATAAGAAGTATTATTTGTTATTGTGGTTGAAATCGGAAAATAATTCTACCAAACAAAGTATTTGAATGAAGCAGAATCTTGGGATCTAATTAACTTTAGGGATGATTTTGTTGATTTTATTGCTATTTAAATATTAATTTTGACTTTTAATATAATAAAGAATAAAACTATCTCCTATGGACGTGCAATTAAGGTAACATGGGATTGCATTCAATATTTGCCAAAGTTGTTAACGTGGAGGCGCTACATGAAAGTGCATGTACATATAGTCTATCACATTAAATTGGCTTGACTTGACAAATTGCGAGGAACAAGCGGAGATTAAGAAATTGTATCTGAAAATAATTGAATAATTTTTTGACAATATTTTATTTAATTAAAGGAGTTTCAGAGAAAGTTCACATAAGGTAACTTTCTTATGAAACTTTTATATAAGAAGTGGACGCAAAAAAAATAGAAGCCCGCCAAACGGTCCTTAGGAAAGAAAAGTAGAAAACAATTTTCGCAAATTTCAATTGAATCTTGTAATTATTAGATGCATGGGATTAATTTGTTGATACTTATAAATAAATAGCGATATTGAATATAAAAATAAAAAATTTTGCTTCTTTTTCTTAATTGCGAGAAGGTAAGTACGATATTCAAGAGTCTACATTTAATGACTTTATATATAAAGTTGTTAAGAAAAGTAATTTCTTCAAAGTTTAAACATCACCCTTCTCATTATTCTAAAATTTTCCTACGTATGTGACCAAAAACTTGTCACAAATTTTAAATGTCGCATTTAATGTTGTGAAATGATTTGTCAATGGTCTAGCAGTCCAAATAGTATAAAATTGAACGATTTTCAATATTTTTGGTTGTGACTTTTGACCACGTAATGTATAGGAATAGTTGAGAAATTTCGTGGCAATGATAGAAGTAGTGAGAAGAAACTAAAACTAGAGATTCTTGCGTTAGCTAAAATTAAATGATTCAAAATTGGCATTCTAATTTAAGGTAGGAAAAATTAGTTTCCATGTTATTTGTTAACCTCTTATGTTGACTTATTATATGATTGTAGAAATGAATGAAGAGTTGATAAAAGTTTTACATATTGAATCGCATCATGTGTATACACAATATAAACATAAAGATGAAGAAAGTAAGAATATAGATAGGGCACGGTTCACGATATATAGGATAATTTTCGTGCATTGATAAAAGATGAAATAAATAAACAATGTATATAACATCTTCAAAAAAAAATATTTATAAAAATTATCTTGCATAATAGGGAGATTTTTAAATGTAGCCAATATTTTTTTTATAAAAATCAAATTTTCAATAGAATTTGATAAAAAAAAGTGATAAAATGTACGGTTGAAATGTTGATAAAAATTGTGAATGTCATTAAACGTGTGGTTAAAATGAGCATGAAAAAAATTAGTATTAAGATATGAGGAGCAAACAATGGCTAAGAGAGTAAATTTTTCACTCCAATAATGCTTTATGTTTTATTTTTTTTTTAAATTTATTGATTTATCTTAATCTTTTGTTGAATATAATTTTTATACATCAATCATCAGTTAATTTAATTATGATTTGAATTATTTAAGAAGTAGGGTATCGAAACTTATAGCTTATTGAATACAATTATTATAAATTAAGAAAATAAATACTGAATTTGACTCTTCAGCTCTATTTTAAAAAGATTTAGAATTTATTTTTAAGTATTGACCAGATAGCATTTTATATTTAAAGTTTATTGGAGAGATTTTAAGGATTGTTAATACTTTTCTTAATAAAATCGACATTTTAAGATGAAACTCGTACCTGAATATGATGTTAAAGTCCAATAAGCTTTAACAAGTGATTTGATATGTTTAAGGATTAAACAACCATAAATTTCAAGATTGATGTTATCGAAGGAACTACTACTTTCCGTAGGCATGTTAATGAATAACCTCACATCAAATAAAGATGAAGTAGATATACAACATAAGGGTTTAAGCTATTTTTCTTAATTATTTTGACATTTAAAATGGAACTCAAGTTTTAATAAAACATACTCGATGAAAGAGCTAACTAACCTTTTTTTTTTTTTTTTAAAGACTCCTATTTTATACAATTCCCAATATGTATAATAAATCCAAGCCACAATAAGCAGCTAAATAACCTCCTGGAAAACATCTGATCTGTTTCACCAGCAATCAGATTTAGCAACGGTCTCCACATCTTACACTAGGCAGCCCACGTTTGTCAAGTTTAAGGAGCTCTAGTCTTCGTATATCTATTATTTATGGCAATATAATTAGGAGAGTGTTCAATATCTTGGTAAGATATAGAACTTTCGACTTCTCTACAAATTTTTTTGCATTTTTATTACAAAAGCTAACAAAAAGCCATTCTTTTTTCTACCGACGATATTGACACACGATAAGTCAAATATTATCGACCTTGATTCAGGCACACGAGGCCCTAACCTCCTTGCACAAAGTGTTGTTCATGGACATTCCATGAAAACATAACATATGCAACCTTTAACTTAGTCTACTGCCACGATCATGGGCCTTCAACACCAAGGTCATCATGCACTTCCTTTTTGTATTTAACAAGGCTCGACCTTTGCCATCATCAACCTTAGTTTCAAAAAAAGGCTTGGGGCTTGACATCAGGTCTAATCTAGTTACACAGTTTAAGTATTGGGTACTTTTATGATTATTCAATCCCAATAAAATTTCATGTTAGAGGCCTAACATGTTTCAACTAATCAGTCCCACTCATACAACTCATCGTCTCATCTAAAGATGGCAATCAGACTCACTTGCTTGGACCACCCGTGGCTCGGTCCGGAAAAGCTTGAGGCTCGGGCGAAGCCCCATTTTGGGGTGCTGGGCAGAGCCCAAGCCTGCTCGCGTGGTTCGTCGGCTCGACTCACAGGCCTTTATATAGAAAAATAAAAAATAAAGGGAGCAACCTACTAACATTTTTTTAAAGCAGCAGCCTACTGCCTATATATTATATTTATTAAAAAAGAAGAAGAAGAAAAAATTGAGCCTACTCGGCTCGGCTCGATAAGTCCAGAGTCGAAAGCTCGGGCCGGGCTCGCAAAACAGCTCACATCATTTTACTCAATCCTCGAGTTTCGACTCGTACTCTCATCCATCCAAAGGAGCTAGGACACTTAAGCCAATTAGAGTCTTAGTTCAACCAATTTACTTCTATCTAGCAGGTGCCCTAGACCTCCTCGGGTTACACTACACAACAAGATACATTATTCAAGTAGTTTTACATCATTCAATGTAAAGTCTCGAATCACATACTTTTTCCAAATTTACCGATGCAAATATTGGAGGAACAACAAGGATACATTTCAACTTCTCCACTTCAAGAAGAAAATTCTACTATTTTTAGCAACTGTTTAAATTGATATGAGTATAAACAATTGAGATTCACTATGCAGATATGAATAAGTAACATACATGTCAATTAAATAGTGACATGGAATATCGAATTTCAATATTCTGGAAGTGCTATGAGTTTTCTCCTATTTTAGATGTGCAATTCTTGTTACCATTGAAGAGTGGTTCTACGTGGCAAATCTAAAAAGCAGTGCTACAATTAGTTAGTCTTCTCATTTGTAGTCCTGTTTTGTATCAATTTCTTTCAACCTAGCTATTGGGCCAAGTAGTCAGCAAAACCCAGACCGCCCAGTCTCTTTGATCCAGTAAACAATACCGTTAATCCGATGCATTGGGTAAATGGACAGATCATATATAAAATAACAGTTTTAAATAGTTTATTGTCAATTATCAACAATAATATTTTTTCCTTTTTATTTTACATATTAAAGTTATTTTCCAGTGCTTAAAATATAAGAATGATTAACAAAGATGTTCTTATTCCTCTTTCAACAATAAATTTGGAATATTTCCCAGTCATTAAAATAGGGTAATTAGCACAAAACGTCCATACCTTTAAGGTTTATTGTGCAAAACGTTCACATCTTTCATTTTTTGACATTTTTGCTTTTATTTCCACGTTTATTTTTGCGGAAAACATCCTTTTCACCATTTTTTTAATGTAAAATGACTAAAATACCCTCCCATTTAAATAAAACTCAAAAAAAGAAAAAAATAAAGAATAAATTACAATCTTACTCCTAAATGTTTTAAAAAGTGCAAGTAAGTCCAAATAATTATTAAAATGCGTAATAGCACAAAACGTCCCTACATTTGGTCTATAATGTGAAAAACGTCCCTACGTTTCAAATTGGTAAAATGAACGTTTTTCGCAATGAAATGTGAAAATAAGGAAAACGCAAAAAAATTGAAATGTAGGCACATTTTTCGCAAGAAGTTTCAAACGTAAGGATTTTTTTGCTATTAGGCCTTATTAAAATAAAAATAAAAATAACTATCTCTCTCTTCTCCAAATGAGACTACCACATTAGAAGTAAAAAAACTACGACTAACCATCGCCCAAATCGTCGAACCTTCATACCGCTGAACTATCTGTTGATATTTTAAGACTATGAAGAGAGGCACCCTAGTGAGTATAGTCGATTGGTGTGTTGGAAATGACATGGATCTCTCCGAAATAGGTGATGCCGTCAGTATTTATGTTCGTGAGTTAGGTATTTTGGCTTGCAATTCCTAACAAATCTATTGGCATGAAAGTTTCAACATTGGATGTTGGGTGGTATGTGTAGAAGGAAGTGGGGGCTTTTCGATGGTATAGAAGTCCAGCAATTTGAATGGTGGTTTACTGAAATTTTTTGGCTTCTAAGGTGATTGATCCACTTGGAGAAGAAGAGAAGAGGCCGGGGGGGGGGGGGGGGGGGGTTTTTTTTTGGGGGGGGGGGGGGGGGGGGGGGGGGGAGAGTTTTTGTTATTTTTAATATTTTAATCAAGGCTAATAGCAAAAAAATCCCTACGTTTGATACTTCTTGCAGAAAAACGTCCCAACTTTTCAATTTTTTTGCATTTTCATCCATATTTCCACGTTTCATTGGAGAAAACATCCATTTCTCCAATTTGAAACGTAGGGATGATTTTCACACTATATACCAAATATAGGGATGTTTTGTGCTATTAGGTCTTTTAATAATTATTTGGACTCACTTGCACTTTTTAAAACATTTAGGAGTAAAATTGTAATATATTCTTTATTTTTCTTTTCTTTATTTTTGGATTTTATTTAAATAGGAGGGTATTTTGATCATTTTATATTAACAAATGGTGAAAAAAATGTTTTCCACAAAGAAAGGTGGAAATAAGGACAAATATGTCAAAAAATAAAAGATTGAGACGTTTTATACCATAAATTTTAAAGATAGGAGCGTTTTGTGCCAATTACCCCTTAAAATATTAGAACAAAATCCATATAGAATATACTAGGAAAGATTGTAGTGGATTCCCTAACCTTTTCTTTTTAAAAATAAATCCCGAACCTTAAAATTTTGACAGCATCATCCCAAACTTTTATATAAATACGGCTGAAGGACCTTCGATGGCTAAGGTTCATAATTTCATTAAATTGAGTACTTTCAGAATTTAAATTATATTTTTTTTAAAAGAAAAGATAATAAGAAATGAAAATAATATAAGAAATAATAATTCAAAAAAAGAAAAGAAACAATTAGTTCCCAGCGGCTCCATCCACTCCGCTCATCAACTATCGCTGCCACCATCGAAGAAATTTCTACCCCTCGCAAACTAAATCCCGATGGTTTTTAACTGTGATAACCAAAGGATTTATGGTTAACGTTAAAGAAAATTTCCCTAGTTTTGTAACGGGATATCGAGGACAAGGAGATGTGTATGTATGTTGACGGTATGATGTAGACCCATGTAGTCGTGGCATGATTGCACGGAGCTATATTTTTTAAAATTGATTTTCAAGCATCGATTAGAAGAAAGGAGAGAACAATGGTCAAAAGGTTAAATTGAATTGGTCGTGGTCGAATTGAATGTTGAAAAATTAATTAAATAGATATAATTTTATTAAGTTTAGTTTACCCGCTGCAAGCCCTAATTCCATTCGAAGCTACCTTCCGTTTTTCACATATCACATCCAATGTGCTCTCAAGCTCTATACGCATAATAAATATACACACATACATAAACATGTATATTTTTCCGTACAAAATCTAGCTTCTTTGTCATCTCATCTTTTCTTAAACGTTACAAGTCGGAAAATTGAGGAAACGGGTACAGGGTCAATTGGTGCGATTTTAACCAACAACCATACTAATTTTTCAACCATTTCAATTATTTGTTTGAACTGACTAGTCCGATTTGATTCGATTTGATTTAGTTGCTAATACATATTCTGGATCGATTGTGGTTACCCATGAGTGGAGCTAGAACAAGTGAAAATTTTATCATATTTTGGTAAATATTTTTATTTTAAGTGGAAAATGTGGATAGATATTTTTACTCTTCTAAAATTCGTGCAAGTACATTTTTGGGGTAATAAGAGTATTTTTAATAGACCCTCTAAGCATAAAATATTCTTTATTTTAGATATTCAATAATTAAAAATAAGTTTCAATTTAAATATTCTATAATTTAAATTATTCAAATCACATTTGAATTCATTGTCCCTTAATATATAAAAAATTATGTTAAATTTTTTAGGAGAAATCAATAAATGTGAAAAAATAAAATTAAGAGTCGAAATTGAGAGAATAAAAAAAATTATTATTTAAATTTATAGATGCTTCCCCGTTTGATTCTCATTTTTATCAAAATACATTTTTCTCTTTCTTTTTTTAACCACACATTCTTTATTAAAATAATATTACACGAAAATATAAAACAAAAATTCCTTATTTTTGCATTCACACATTCTTCATCAATCTACTATTCTAAAATTCATTTTTTAGTAAAAATGGTTATTAAACACCCTCGATGTATAATATACTTTTTATAAATGTAGAGTTTTTTGGGGATGCTCTAACATAATTTCGGATTTCAAAGTCTTTCCAGTGCATATTTAAATAAAGGCTTTGAACTGCATTGCCAAAATTTAAAGATTTAAGATCTATTTGCTCTTTTAAAAATGATTAGGGACTGGGCTTCAATTTTCTCAGAAAATTAAAGTGAAGGAACCATTGAAGATCAGATGGCTGACATTAAGCGCTGGATCACAGATCAGACTCATCAGAGAATAATTGTAGGTCCAGATTCCACGGTCAACATCCAATAAAACCCCCGATAGATACCGCCATACCCGACTACTGCAGCTTAAAATTGCAGCTATCAGGGGAAAAATTCCTCTCTTCGTTTAGATTTCGGAGAGCAAGACTAGTCGATAAAGATGCAGATCTTCGTGAAAACATTAACTGGAAAGACCGTTACTCTCGAGGTTGAGAGCAGCGATACTATCGACAATGTCAAGACAAAGATTCAGGTTTCTGATCTTTATTTTCCGTTTATTCTTTGTGATTTCGTTATATTTATTTTAATTTGGGGATTTTACTGCTTTTCTATTGTTGAAGTGTTTGTTTTCATTGGTTTGTGGTACATATGGAGCTATGGATTTGAATTATTGTTTCTGCTGGGGTTTTGGTATTGATTAAGTTTCTTCTGATAGGTGATTCGTCTGTGTGTGCAGAGGCTATGTCCATATATGAGAGCATGCTTACAAGCATATTGTTTTGTATATACTATTGATCACCATTGAGTCTTGGCGGGAAATTAAAAATGCTAGTACATGTATTTAACCTTTTGGGTAGGAAACAAAAAATAAAAATAAAATATAAAAAAATCAGCGTTGAGCTATTTCACTGTTTCACATCGGTGGCATGGAAGGAGAAATGTATAAGCCTCAAATAACTTTTCTAAACAATGCTTTGAATACTCGGATAAATGCAAATACATGTGTTGAGCAAGGCCCTGTATGTGTATGTATGAGTAATGAGTGGTTGTAGTTTTTCATTTTTCATATAGTCGTGATCCTCTACATTATATGCTCTTGTTTGTGCTAGAAAGTGTTGTATAAATTTCAGTAAGCAGCAGTTAATATTTATAATTAGAGACCGCGTGTAATGTTGACTCGCTAAGCATATATTTATAAATTGTTTATAATCACTAAAAGACACTTTTTTTCACACATTTTGAGGACCACAAGTACTATCCACTTATTCACAACTTATTTCTATCTATTTATATTTTAAACCATTTATAAACATTTCTCAAACATGCTTTAATTGCTTGATAACAATTTTGAATAACTTCATTTTGGTAATTGCCATGAATTTAAGCTAACATGAAAATTACTTCTACCAGGATAAAGAAGGTATACCTCCTGACCAGCAGAGGCTTATATTTGCTGGTAAACAATTGGAAGATGGCCGGACCTTGGCAGATTACAATATCCAAAAGGAATCAACACTTCACCTTGTTTTGAGGCTTAGGGGAGGAACTATGATCAAGGTGAAGACACTCACAGGAAAAGAAATTGAAATAGATATTGAGCCAACTGATACTATTGAACGTATCAAGGAGCGGGTTGAGGAGAAGGAAGGAATACCTCCAGTCCAACAAAGGTTTGTGATAAGCTTTTCTTTGATAATCTTATCTCATGCCTACCAATTTTATTTGTTTATGGAACAGTTTATGCTGTGTTCTTAAACTTGTGAAGTTCAACCAAATATCACCACTCCCTGTGATGCGTGATTTTATTTTCAACTGGTTAAATTCATTGGATTGAGATTATATAAACCTCCTCTAGAATTTTATTCTTCTTACTTTATTAATTTATTAAACCTTCAGCACTGCTGCTTGCATTTCTCATTGACTCTGGTGTCGGTGAACCCATTGTTTGCATTACTTCTCACTCCACTGCCACCACAAACATGCCAATGTTGTGGTTACAAATTTGTATGGCACATAGCATAAACATGTATAAGCTTCGTGCTAATAGTCAAATGGTTCTCAGCTCAGGCTACATGGTGCTGCGAAATTTCTGATTCTTTTTTCTTTTGGAATGACTACCACCACTCACTCATCATCAATCTAAATGGATCTAATTCCATTTCCTTTCCAAACCTTAATTTTAGAGAGTAATTTAAACTTGCTAATGAATTGAATAAATAGCAAGAAAATCCAATTACAGCTACTAAGCAAATGCTCTGGTGGAAACTAGAAAGAAAAAAAATTAGATGCGTTAATATCAATAAAAATGTATGACGAATGAATACAGCAGTAAGGAATTTCCCATTTAAATTGGCTTGAAATAATGTCATACTCCAAGCCTTTATAATTCTTTTTTCGACATTTATGATCTTATGAAATTCAAAACGAGGTCCCTTGATAAATGTTATCGGCCGATGATATATTTGTAGTTGATTAGAGTAGGTGGATCGTAAATCGTAAGTTAGAACTATAAAGAAATACTTTGAAATCTATGGTGGAGTCAAAATGCAGGAACATGTTATCTAGAAGAGCATTGATTTTAGGAATTAATTTTGGTTGTTATTAAGGTTTAGGATATTAGTAGGTTATAATGCCATATGACCTAAGCGGAGGGGACAAAATGGGAAAAGTTTTATGGATTTTAGATACCTACAATAAGTTTTATAAAACTATTATAACAACAGCTATATATTGTGGAAATGAGTGTTGAGCCATTTAAATAAACAAAAATTTGCACGTTTACGCCGCATAAATTGGGATGTCAAAAATAGTTGTACAGCTTAACATCTAGAGAATAATATATAAAATAAGAAATAGGAATATAAGTCATCAAGTAATGTGGTGTCAATTGATGTAACTAAGAGGATGAATATTTAGGTCTTGGCATGGTTTTTTTACCGTATGTACACCAAAACTAAATTTTTATGAGGTTGAGAGATTTGATTTCATTGGACCTATTAAAGAGATCTCTTTTGATTATATATATATATATAAAGCAACATCATAACCCTGGTGTGTTTTTAGGCTCCACAAAGACAGGATGGAGTGGTAACTTATCGTGATATAAATGAAAATAAATGAACACAAAAGGAGGACGTATATCTAACATCCATTTAAAGAATAAAAACTAAAAGTAGTAAATGAGAGGTACTACCTCACGTAAAAATGTAGGAAAAACTAACAAGCCTAAAGACATCTTAATATGGGAAGTCCATGTCTGTCAATTTGTACTAGAGAGTTTTCCGGGTAATTCAAGGGGTTTCCCTCACAATAAATGTGAGAAAATGTATTATGATCATAGGAGATTAGGTGTCTAAGCCTGGATGGTCCACCGGCCTCCTGCATTTGTGATGCAATGATTCGTGGTAGAGGAATCCACCCCTATTCATAAACTCGAATGATAGGAGTGATAAACAGGTCGAGCCGTTGGTTAGCTTGTGGGCTCGTCTCATCTCGGACTCGATCCATGGGTCACTCGAGGTTTTATAAGATGAGCCATGGACTGAGTTAGCTTGTTTTGAGATAGTGAGTCGGCTTTTTTTTTGACTTATTTTATTAATCTATGATCAGCTCGTGTCCACACGAGCCAAGGCCCATGCTTTGTTTGTGGACATGAGCCAAGCCTTATCTCGTACTTAGGGTTGATCTGGCTCAGTTTGGTCCATTGCCATTCCTACGAGAGATCAAGTTTGTGTGCAAGAAGGATCCCCTCAAGAATGACGCATAGCTCAGCAGGATCCTATAAAAAATGGCCTACAGCTCAGCATCGAGTATAGAACAAATGCCATAGGATGAAAATAATGACGAATTTGTCCAGAATGATTCGGATGATACCCCCACCACTTGCAAAGTCATCTTTGTCGCCCTATCGATATTGATCATGTAGGATCCCACCAGTGGAACGTGCTATGAAACTAGGATAGGAGGTAGGGGTGGGTAAGAGCTATACCAAGTAAAGGGGTGATATCCAAGTCCCCTCGCTAGTGCACAAATCAAAGTAAATGGCTTATGCGAAGAAAGATGATAGTCCAATAGCTTGTCATATGATCCTCCGAGGCTCCATAGCTACACCCTGACGCTTTCATCATTCCTTGCAGTTTATAAGAATCAAAGGATGAGCAAACAAATGATAGTGAAAATATGCAAATAAACTGGCTTGAGAACTGCCAGCTCTAAAAGCAATACTAAAAGTCCTAAACTTGCTAATGTGCGACCTGTAATATGTCAGAGAGATGGTGCCCAACCTGGTCTAAATGTTGCTCCCTATGAATAGGTTCGAAATGGTCTCAATCGCTAAACAACACTAACATTGGGATGCCAGATGACACCCAGTCCGCCGATGAATAGCTTTTGATTGAATTTAATGGCACAAAAGGATTCGTTCAATTGATCTTAAATTTAATGAGAATAAAGCTAATATATACCCATGTTTGGCCCCCCCTTTTTTAAAACTTATTTTTCCTCAAATTCATTTTTAATCTTACGTTTCAGTGACCCGCAACTTTCATAAATTTTCCAGCCATGCATTTCATCAAATTTTATCGAATTCTATTAAAATTTTGATTTTTATCTAAACCAAATAGGGGCTACATTTTTGTTAATCTTAATTTGATCTACATCCACACACACACTCGCTCATGCATGCATATCTGTTTATTACAAACAAAGGATCCAAAAGGAAATCATTGACGGAAAATGATTAGTGATATTCTGCTGGTAGAGTTGACAGAGCAATGTGAAGGACTACGGTTGGAAGGAGAAACCGATTGTTGGGAGACAGAGTTCAATGTAATGTGAGACAATGTCATTTTTAACCATTATGATGTATTGGCACAACTGTCTAGCAAAGCATTATCATCTGCCATTTTATAAATAAAAATGCACATTCTCTGATGTGGCCTCTAGCCGTGTTGTTTTACTTTGATTACTTGGGTCATAATTGTTGGTTGAAACTTTAGGATCCAAATCTTTCTGATGCATGTGGTGATGGGAAACATTTTTTATTGCAGGCTCATTTATGCTGGCAAGCAGCTTGCAGATGACAAAACTGCTAAAGATTACAACATTGAGGGTGGCTCTGTTCTTCACCTGGTCCTTGCTCTCAGGGGTGGTGGTCTTTAGATAGGGCTATGATATGCTTGGAGTTTGCATTGAACTATTTATACTATATACCTCTGGAGAAGCCAGGAAAATTGTGCTGAAACATGAGCTTTTATTATTTTGCCCCTAGACATACAATCTGATTTCCTATAAGCAGCCTCATGCTTTCTTTGTTCTTGCCATGACAGAGTTTGAGACGATACTTTGATGTAATGAATTTATAATCTTGGCTGTTGAATTTGACCGTAATTATTGGTTACTTGTAAGTGGTACGCTTGAACTGTCTTCTCCATGCTGTACTTTTTGGTTGTGTCGTCCTATAGTCTTTTTGTATTGCTGTCAAATTTATGCTGGCAAGTGATTTGCAAAGGACAAAAGTCACAAAATTGCTAAAGATTACATTAAGCATCCTTCGTTCTTCTTTAAGGTTCTTGCTGCGAGTTTCAGTATATACATCGTGAAATTTGCAATGAACTACTTAAATTCGTACACCTGCACAGAAACGAGAAAGCTTGTGGCTGAACATGATTTTCTTAGTTTGCCATAGATGTTATTTGCTGCGACCAGCCCCTTGCAATGTTTTGTTCTTGCGTACACTAGGATATCACAATCAGCGTTTTGGTCGATGTGCACTATAGGTCCATTTTAGTTCCCTTCATGGGTTTATCCTTTTGTGCTTTCTGATTTAGCCCTTGTGTAGTAGGGATTAAAATTAGGTTTTTAGTAGATTTAGATAGAAGTTTTTAAAATGTGTGGTTGAAAAATTGTGGAGACTTATAAAATATGTGGTTAAAATTAATTATTTGACTTTGACTTGAATTAAAATTTGATTTAAATCCGTACTAAACAGGGCATTAAATTCTCCCTATTTTTGTACATCAATAAACCAGAAGATTGTGTGATAACATTTCCTCCCCTTCAGGAAGCTGGATATAATGTCAATAACATCAGTCCAGATGGTCAGCATCGATAGAATGTTCACATTCTGACTATAAATTTGGCAGGATATTGTTGAATTTGGGACTCAACTAACCACACACAAGGTATAAAAAATCCTCCCTTTTAACTACTGTGTTGAAAAGAATAGCATCTTTCTTAATCAGAAAAGTCATTTTGAATCATTAGAGGGCCTAATCTAGAGCTACAGCTCTTTTGACAAAGTATTTGTCCTCTTCAGTAATTCATTTTCATTTGTCCCTTCTATAGTATCTTACCAACCTAAAAGGTAAAAATTCAGCCCACCAAAGTAAATTTAGATTGATATCGGGTTGAAAATAAGCTCTTTAAAATTTCTCGTCTTTCATTATAAGCAATTTCATGATCGAGTGAAAGATTTTACGAAAGAATGAACTGTATTGATTTGAAAAATAACACCCACGAAAGCATGATTTGGCATATGGTATATGGCTTACACAAGTTGGTATGTGTCCTGTGCATTCCAATGGCCTAATAAATTATAATTGGTTTTGCCAAACACTGTTCGTTCCTATTCCCATAAAACAAATTCCACGCACAAAGGGTGTGCTTAAATTGAAAAATCACTGTTGAAAGGCATGCAACTGGGCTCTGGGCATTAGGTTACTTGTACATAAGCCACACGTCATGCATACGTACACGAACCATTTTCTAATAATTGACTTGTTGAGTCATGAAAAGTCATCCAAAGTTAGTGAAAAAATCTACTTACCTTAAAGAAAGATGTCGCAATTAGGTACCGAATGGTAAAAGCAGTAAATGTTTGCTTCCCTAACTCAAGACTTGGAGGGGATAGAGAGTTACATATTCAATATTTTATAAGCGAGATGAAGCCGTGTACACGCACGGCATGATTTTACATAACATTCCACCTTTTTGCTTTAAAGAAATAATATATTAGTATTATATGTTTCAATTTTTCCTTTCTACGTACAATTGTTTGGCCATGAATGACTATGGCATCTAACCAAATAGATTTTAGCTTTTATTTCTTGTAGAAGAGCATCCTGAGAAACTCTTTGAACAAGACAAAGCACTTTCAAAAAATTATTTAAACATATTTTAGAAAAAGTTTTTGGTCTCATAAGCTATTGACTTTTCAAAACAACAAGAACATTACAAAAAGTTGGATTAAAATAAAAAAGAAAATATGTTTTCTACCTTCGAATATGCATATAACGTGAGGATGATAAATAATTAATTGCAAAAATCAGAGCTGACTTTTTAACCTTTTACGCGGTGTGGTTATATATTTTCAATTTTCAGAAGTGAGGTTTTGAGTTCCCAACCTACTTATATCGGTGAATTGGGTCTTTACGTGACCATAACCTTTTAAATAAACACTAACGTTGAACATGATTTTCATTGAATTAGAGAGAAATATTAAGTGGTATGATAAATTTGGCCAATTAACTTTTAGTGACGTGAAAGTCATGTATAATTGAGAATCAAAAATAGGTTGGGGTCCACATCTTCACTTATAAAAGTTGAAAGACTTGCACACTATATAAATAGTTAGGGAGCTTAGCCGTAATTTAATTAATTAATTAATTTTTTATTTTTATGTTATGAAATAAACGTATAGAGCTGCTGTAAACACCCTGCAATAAGATATCAGCAATTTTCATTTTAACATTGTTTGATGCATGCGTGGAAACATGCTGCCTTCAACTTGAGTTTATGTTATTCTTGCTGCTAAGGGAATATCACTTCTTCAATTTTGTTTTTTTGTTTTTTTTTCCCTAATATCTTGTACGGCATCTTAGTATAAATATATGTCCTGTAAAGTACGAGGTACAAATGTATTATATATTCCTTAAAAATTTAACCTAAGACTCTGCTAAATACTGATAATCCCATAAGCAACAAGGAATGTATTGCTTCACTTAATTGGGAAAGAAATATTTTCTTGCAAACTAAAATAAAGATAAGATTGACTTCCTTAATTTCTAAGATGATTAAAGGATGCAAGTGTTTGAAGAAAAAGAAAATTATTGTTTATCTGATATGCTTGCGTTTATTATGAATCAAGGATTAGGAAATCTATTTCAAATAAGGTGATTTTTTGGAGTAAAATTCCTCGTGTATCTTTGCTAAAAATAATAGAGTAAATTTGTGTTTTAATCAGGGACTAATCCAGGATTGGATACAAGACCGGGTTACAAAATTTCAAACCGGGCTACTACGTGTAAAAAAAAAAAAGAATTTACACATAAAAAACTGATTTTTTACCAAAAAAAATAAAAAATACCTTAAAAAAAAAGTTCTTGGGCCTGAGGGAGGGGGGTTACAGCCCAGCCCTATCCCCCCTCAATCCGTCTCTGGTTTTAATCTTCAAGTCCTACGCTTAGTCTCTTAAAAAAGTTCTTGGGCCTAAGGGAGGGGGGTTACAGCCCAGCCCTGTCCGCCCTAATCCGTCTCTGGTTTTAATCTTCAAGTCCTATGCTTAGTCTCTTAGTTGTAGACTAGTCTTTAGTAAGTATATCAAATAGACGTGACTTAGAATCCGTTTCGTTGACTTTTAAATAGTTAAAAGTTATTTTTGATATTAAGAAACTATTTTTCTTAATATGTTTAGATAATTTTACGAGGGTACTCTATCTGATTAGATAGATAGGCATAAGGTAGCTTCCTCCGGAACCTGTTCTAATAGAAGTAGAATCAAAAGCAAAAATCCTAGCAAATGGATCTTTATTCTTGTCTTAACAAAACAATAAGGACTTTTTTTTTTCTTTGTTTAATTGCCATTTAATTGAGTTTTACGCATTTTGAGGTGAAGCATACTGTAAATGACGTCAAATCTTCTCAAATTAACGGTTGAAATGCAGTGCAAGATTGACTAACAACATAACTACTGTACAAATAGACAAAGCACTTTCAATAAATTATCTAAACATATTTTAGAAAAAAAATTTGGTCTCGTAAGTTACTTATTGACTTTTCAAAACAACAAGAACATTACAAAAAGTTGGATTAAAATAAAAAAGAAAATATGTTTTCTACCTTCGAATATGCATATAACGTGAGGATGATAAATAATTAATTGCAAAAATCAGAGCTGACTTTTTAACCTTTTACGCGGTGTGGTTATATATTTTCAATTTTCAGAAGCATGGATTTTCCATGTAATATTTATTTTTCCATTAAAGAGGTTTATTAGTTACCAAGTAAGCAAATAGTTTTACTCTTTAATATTATTGCTTAAAATTCATGGCATGGTACTTGTTGGTTAGTCTTGTCTCTCTAATAAACCTATATATATAGACAGAACATGGAGTGATAAAGAAACTACCATGTAAGGAGGCAGAAAATATTCTAGGGTGGCTGTACTTTTTAGTTATCCTAAACATTTTTCATTGGCTAGTAAGAAATGGGAAGAGGTCGTGCTCCTTGCTGTGATAAAACCAAGGTGAAGAAGGGACCATGGAGCCCTGCAGAGGATTTGAGGCTCATGAGTTTTATTCAGAGGCATGGACATAGCAATTGGCGCTCGCTCCCTAAACAAGCCGGTCTCTCTCTCTCTCTCTCTCTCTCTCTCCATGTGTGTGTGTGCGTGCGTGCGCTTGTTTATGTTACTTAAGCCGGAGGGTGGAATTGGATGGATTCATGAAATGGAATGAACAATGCACAGATGAGAAGTCAGAAAAAAAGGACTAAAAGTAGTTGATGAATAAGTTCTTTAGGTTCTGTTTTAATCTTATTCTTACGAGTTTCTGTTCCAACGGACAATGGAATAATCATAATCTGTCGATTTTATTTACATCCACGAGGCCTTATTCTGGAGATTAGAGCTTACCGGTATAAGTTAGTGAAAAAACAGATAATAAATATCGAAAATTGCTTATAAAATGTAAAAACTAACTTCTGGTGCTATATTAGTCTTCAAGGTTTATCTCATTGCAGGCTTGTTTGGTATACAAACCAACTTTCCTTATGCTCTGTATCATTTCCTAAGATCATGCCTCTATAATTTCAGTACGACATCTGTATTTGTAAAATTTTATTAATGCGGCCGAGGAAGCTATAAATTTTAGTTCATTCTTTTCCTATTTTACACGAGAGCACGTGAATTTTGTGTAGTTTCAAGAAATGAGCATTCTGAGTTTGAATTATATTCTTTACACAGATTGAAATGTGGTTAGAGATTTGAGTCACTAGTCCTCATCATCCCATCGAGAAGAAAATGACTTTCATATATTTTCTTCTTTCGTGATTTTTATAATAGTCAATGGTTTTTTGTGTGCAGGATTTGTTTAATTGCCATTTAATTGAGTTTTACGCATTTTGAGGTGAAGCATACTGTAAATGACGTCAAATCTTCTCAAATTAACGGTTGAAATGCAGTGCAAGATTGACTAACAACATAACTACTGTACAAATTATTAATTTTATATTTTGGTAATTAAGTAATTAGGAATGAAATCAAATTCTGACAGTATATTATTACTTATGATTCCTACTGTTTTTATTAGTTGCTAAACTCTTTATGGATTTTCCATGTAATATTTATTTTTCCATTAAAGAGGTTTATTAGTTACCAAGTAAGCAAATAGTTTTACTCTTTAATATTATTGCTTAAAATTCATGGCATGGTACTTGTTGGTTAGTCTTGTCTCTCTAATAAACCTATATATATAGACAGAACATGGAGTGATAAAGAAACTACCATGTAAGGAGGCAGAAAATATTCTAGGGTGGCTGTACTTTTTAGTTATCCTAAACATTTTTCATTGGCTAGTAAGAAATGGGAAGAGGTCGTGCTCCTTGCTGTGATAAAACCAAGGTGAAGAAGGGACCATGGAGCCCTGCAGAGGATTTGAGGCTCATGAGTTTTATTCAGAGGCATGGACATAGCAATTGGCGCTCGCTCCCTAAACAAGCCGGTCTCTCTCTCTCTCTCTCTCTCTCTCGGCATGTGTGTGTGTGCGTGCGTGCGCTTGTTTATGTTACTTAAGCCGGAGGGTGGAATTGGATGGATTCATGAAATGGAATGAACAATGCACAGATGAGAAGTCAGAAAGGAAGGACTAAAAGTAGTTGATGAATAAGTTCTTTAGGTTCTGTTTTAATCTTATTCTTAAGAGTTTCTGTTCCAACGGACAATGGAATAATCATAATCTGTCGATTTTATTTACATCCACGAGGCCTTATTCTGGAGATTAGAGCTTACCGGTATAAGTTAGTGAAAAAACAGATAATAAATATCGAAAATTGCTTATAAAATGTAAAAACTAACTTCTGGTGCTATATTAGTCTTCAAGGTTTATCTCATTGCAGGCTTGTTTGGTATACAAACCAACTTTCCTTATGCTCAGTATCATTTCTTAAGATCGTGGCTATATGATTTCAGTACATCTGTATTTGTAAAATTTTACTAATGCGACCGAGGAAGCTATAAATTTTAGTTCATTCTTTTCCTATTTTACACGAGAGCACGTGAATTTTGTGTAGTTTCAAGAAATGAACATTCTGAGTTTGAATTACATTCTTTACACAGATTGAAATGTGGTTAGAGATTTGAGTCACTAGTCCTCATCATCCCATCGAGAAGAAAATGACTTTCATAT